GTAATTATCTCCCGGATATAATTTTATTATAAATCACTAACTCACTGATTTGGAAAACACTGAGTGTTTCCACACATCAAAGATCCCAGCAAACAGACAGGAAATGCCTATCATCAGTGGGCTATGCTGGAGAGGCCAAGGATATTTGGAAACAGTGTTCTCTTTCTGAGAAGGATATCAATTTAGGAGTGTAGATGACACTCACTGAGAGATAAAGGATGGGAAATACATGGTTACTGCTGTCTGTTGACTCACAGAATCAAACAATCCCAGAAAATTCAGAGGGCAGAAACCAGCTTAATGGAAAGAGGAACCAGGAACAAATGGGTTTCAACATTGACCAAGTCACTTTAGTCTGAGTGTGCAGTCCTCACATGTAAAGTGAGAGGGCAGGTCACAACACTGTTTCTCCATGGAAATATAGTGCCTGCCACTTGGGTACTGGGCTGTCTAATATGGATTATCTCTGGATAAAAGAATTGATTTCTTAGGGAGATGATCTCACATACATGTTCTTACAGTGTCTAGCACACAGTAAGCCTTTAATAATTAGCTGTTGCTTAATCCCCATGACAACACTGAGGTGAACATTACTTCCTCTGTACAATGGGGAAGCCACTAAGGGAAGGACCAGGATCTGAACCTCATCTGAGACCAAAGTCCATGCCATCCCCTTCATGTGGTTTGGCTTAGAAGGCTCCACAGCCTTAACTGTAAACTCGAACCCTCAAAACAGCAAAAGCACTTGCTAAGGGCTTCTCTGCAAAGAGGAACATCTCATTTATGATGGATCTGAGGTGGAGGAGGTGTCTCAGATAAAGCCATGAAAGTATTTTGCCCAAGCTCATTTTGTCCCATCATTTCCCAGCAGTGGTAGATTCCAGACACCATCTGTGCATGTAAGGAAAAGCTGGGGTTCTTCAAGAGCAAGACCAGTGAAAGTCAGTTCTTAGTGGCACACCCAGTCAATGCTGGGAGAAAATGAGAAGAGACATTCAGGTCCCTGGGGAAGGCAGCTCCCAGACAGATGAATTAATCATCTTCCATGCTGATGGACTCTGTCCAAATTGCTGTTAGAGTTCAGTTGTGGCACCTAATTATCATTTTCAAGAACACAGTGCTGGGGTGGTGGTGCACACCTATAATCCTAGCACTTGGGAGGCTGAAGCAGGAGAATTGTAATTTCCAGGCCAGCCTGGAATATACATAGTGAGACTCTCAAAAAAAAAGTACACAGCCCACCAATGTATAGGAAGTTACACATGTAAACTAGGCAGTAAATGATAATATGGAAAGGACAACAGGGTCCTCAGAAACCAGAGAAAGAACTTGGTCCAGCCCTAGTAGGAGAAACCAGAGGGGCTTCTTAGAGTAAGTCTCTAAAAATTGAGACCTAAATTACTGCAGATTGTTTGATTTGTGACTTCGCAACTTTATCATGGAGCAAAAGCAGTAAACATTCAGTTAGACTGGACTTTATTTTGATTGTGAATCTTTTCCTGTCCTAGAGATAGGCTGTCCAATCCTGACAAGGCTGGATGGTGGCAAGTGAGCCCCAGCTCTGTTAGCCATGTGACCATGAGGGAAAAAACTACTTCTCTGCGGTACCATGTTGCTAAGTAACCATGTTTGTAGGTTAGACACATTGAATACATTTTCAATTTCCAATAGGTTTATCAGGACACAGCCCCATGGCCTCTGCCTGAAATATTCCCCTTTTGACTTCCAGAATTTTTACATCTAAGTTTGATATATCTGTAGGTATAAAAACACAGTCAAAAGAGGAGGGTATTTCAGCAGAAGCAATGGTGACAGAAAGCCTAGGTCTTTGAAGGAAGTGAAAGTAGTTCTGAGTGAGGTGGGGGAAGAGTGAAGAGATGGGAATCTGGAAAGGTGAGCAGCAAATAAAGCCCTGGACAGCCAGAGACACATATTAAGAAATTTGGTCTTTATTAAACAAGGAAGCACTGAAAGCTCTTAAGCAGAAGTCAACATGGTTCACATTTTAGGAAGATGGATTTGGCTGGGCGCTGGTGGCTCCTGCTTGTAATCCTAGCTATTTGGGAGGCTGATATTAGGATGATTGTGGTTTGAGGCCAGCCAGGATCATTAGTTCTTGAGATTCCATCTCCAAAATAACTAGAGCAAAATGGACTGGAGGTGTGGCAAGCCCAAAGCCCTAAGTTCAAATCTCAGTCCCACTCAAAAAAAAAAAAAAAAGGCAACCTGTATTTGGAGAATGGATTAGTGTAGACTAAGCCTGGAGGCAGAGAGACCAGTTAAGGTCCTCTGCTTGGGGTAGCAAGCAGTGGGAAAGAAGCATGATGGATGAATTGAGGAGACACTGGGGACACCAAGCACTGGGGCAAAGGTGAAGCCTGGGTTTCTGGTGTGGCCAGTAAGATGGAGCGGTTGGCATTAGCCCAACATAGTGGAGGTTGTAGGTGGAACTTCCTTGGATGTGTTGCAGTCCAAATGAGGATTCCTGAGTGGCTGGATGTACACATCAGGAGATTCAAGGAAAGAAAGGTATGGGAGAGATATGGATGCCAGTCATCAGCACAAAGAGATGCAAGGTTAGGGATGGGGACAGGTGCTTAGAGAAAGCAGACTTGAGAAGAGGACCCAAGACCAATTTTCAAGAAGGCTAGCAGTTGTTGAGTGCAGAGGTAGTGGGACCTGCCCGAGGACCAAAGAATCCTTATACACTAGATGCCTAAATAAGTTCAAGATAGGAGGAAAATTGCAGCATGTCATAGGAGCCAAGAAGAGGATTTTAAGACAAGAGGAATCCTTTACCTGCAGACAAGTAGGGGAAAGACTGGGTTTTGGGATTAGGTTCAATATAAGAAACCAAAGCATTTACTGCCACTGGTTTGTTTCATTGTTGTGTATCCCACTTGTCTTCTGCTCTGGAATGCGGGCCCCAATAACCCCATCTGGGGGTAACTGCTGCCATTCTCCTGCTGTTTCCATTGAGCATCACTTCTAGTTCCTGTCCACACAGGACTTTACTCTGAGTTAGTTTTCAGTATCATGCATTTCCCAGGAAATCTACTAGGCAAAAAAAACCCACCAGGAAAGCACACAGTCTCATCATAAATCAGATCCAAAAAGGCCATTTTACTTTACAGCTTCACTCTTGAGAGTTGGGTTTGGAGGCTGTAGCAGGGGAGCATAGTTCATGTGTTTCACATGCCAGAACACAAGATAATTTGTCAGAATGATGATTTTTGCCTACTTATTCTGAAAACCCAACATCCAAAAAGGCCTCGTATACCTTTGACAGAATAGTCCTCCTGTATTGTGGAAGATTGTTCCCTTTGACTGAGCATGCAGCTTCAGGAGGGATGTGCATGGACTTGTGAGGGAGGGGAAGGGACTCCATCCTAGCAAGCCAGATCAGCTGAATCAACCATGGAGATCAATGGGGCGACAGATGCCACAGTCAGATTTCTCTCATATCCTAGCTTGCATTCTATTTAAAGCTATAACCTTCTCAAGATTTAAATTCTGAACAGCACCGCCTAATAGGAACTGGTGCTGACTGCTTTCTAACGTTTAATCTATTATTTTAGAAGGAATGTAATAACTTTGGCAGGAGGCCAGTGAACATAACCACCTCTCCCAGACTAGTCAATTTTGGACAGTGACATCATTGAGACTTCCGTTTTTTGAACATTTCATATATTAAGGGAAATGTAAGAGATAACTCTGTCTGAAATGCAAGCAATGTTAAGAGCTTGAACAGGAAGGACATAGCTAATGAGAGGCTAGGAAATGAGATAATCTCTTTTATAGAATCATCTGATATTGAGGAAACAAGGAATTTACAAAGGAGGGGCTACAATGAAATTAACCAGGTGGAGCCATCCTTGGGGATCATAACCTTTAGACCCTGCCCTAACAACAAGGCTGTGTAGATGAATGCAGCAGATCTGAACTCTCTAGGAGTTTGTTTCTTGTTTTTCAGACTCAAAGGCTATCTCCTGGGGATGTAGCTCAGTGGCAGAGCAGTTGCCTGGTGTCTGCAAAGCCCTGGAATCCATCCCTAGCACAGAAGGTCAGTTCTTCAGAGGCCATCTACTAAGTTAAGTTAAAAAATCAAGATAGGTGGAAAAAGACATTCATGCATAGTTTTGGAAGCTATCTACTTTTAAAAATAATTTAAGACTAAAACACAAAACAGAACGCAAACCCTCTCTAATTCAGCTCTTCTCACTTAATGTCCTAGAAGATCAGAAAGACCCATTTCACATGCCAGAACACAAGATAATTTGCCGGAATGATGATCTTGCCTGCTTATTCTAAAACCCCAACATCCAAAAAGGCCTGATAATTTAGAAATCAAAAGTGTACTTATCAAAATTCATTAAACTGCATATATTTCAAATTTCAGCATTCTATTTACTATTTATTCTTTTTCAGGCTTGAACCCAGGGCTTTGCACTTGCAAGACAGGAGTTCTACTGCTTCAGCCATCCCTCTACTCCTAAAGATTATTTTGTCATTTGCATTTGAATCTTTTTTTTGTGATACTGGGATTTGAACTCAAGGCCTACACCTTGAGCCACTCTACCAGACTTTTTTGTGTGTATAATGGTTTTTTTCAAAATAGGGTATCCTGAACTATTTTCCCAGGCTGGCTTTGAACCAGGATCCTCCTGTTCTCTGCCTCCTAGCTTTCTGTAGCTAGGATTACAGGCGTGAGCCACCAGTGCCTTTCAAATGCACCATGGCTGCGTATGAATATCCTTTAAAAATTTTTTTGCAGGACTGGTGATTGAATGCTTGCTAGGCAGGTGTTTTACCACTTTATCCACTCTACCAGCCCAAATTTCTGTAATCTATGGTTTCTAAATTAAACCTTAATTAAAAAAAAAACATGAAGAAAAACTGAATTAGGAAGAAGAAAAAAGTACATTAGTAGATCCTGTGGCTAAATGAAACTACTTTATCCTTGTCTCTAATAGAGTCAAAGGTATAAAACTGCAAGCAAAAGTTGTTCAAGAAAATCTGCTGGGCGCAGTGGTTCAGGCCTATAATCCTAACTTTTAGGGAGGTAGAGATTGGGAGGATTGTGGTTCAAGGTCAGTCTGGGCAAAAAGTTCACAAGACCCCATTTTACCAACGGCTGGAGAGAATCGTGGTTCAGGCCAGCTTGGGCATAAAGTGAAACCTTATCTAAAAAATAACCAATGCAAAATGGGGTAGGGGTGTGGCTTAACTGATAGAGCACTTGTCTAGCAAGCGTGAGGCCCTGAATTCCACCCTCAGTATTACAAAAAAAAGGAGAAAAAGAAAACACTCTTGAGCTGCCTGAAGAGACATTTCCCTTGCATCATTAAAGAGACTTCTTCTGTACCCAAACATGTAACCCATCAAAAAAACTAGAGACTTCCTGGGAAGTCTCTAGTTTTGATCCCCGCCCCATCATTTTCACATGGTTTATAATTTATTTTTAAGGAGAAAAGATACACATTCATTAATGTGCACAGGGAAAAATCGTTGCATAGGAGTCACATGTATGAGCTTCCTCAAATGCTCTGTAATTTAAGAATAGCTTAAGTTTTTTGTCAACATAAAAACCCAGCATACTCATCACATTAAGCATTTAGATCTTTGGATTTAGGTATTTCATGTTTTTTTGTCGTTGTTGTTGATTTTGAGACAGGATCTTGCTATGCTGCCCAGGTTGGCCTCAAACTCGAAATCCATCTGCCTCAGCTTCCTGTGTGCTGGATAACACAAACATGGTGAGTCACCAGGCATGGCTTATGATGGGAGTATCATATCCACTAAAAATTCAGGCTGAAAAACAAATCAACAAAGTCTTGTCTGTCTGTAGATTTTAATATATTTATTTGAAAACCAAGTTCTGTGAAAGAGCACACTAAATAGTCATATATCTTCTCTTCAACCAAAGACTTGGAGACAGGTTCTTCATATCAGCGCAAAGGCAATGATACATGCATTGAGTAGCAGGTTTTCAGCACGAGTTTCCTCATAGGCATTTTCAGTATGAGCCTGGACAGTCTTCTTTAGATAAGTGAATGAGATCCTGGGAAAGGGAAAGGGGTTGGTGGTGGAAGCTGACATCATACTTTATTTCAAAAAAAAAAAAACCAAAACTTTCAGTTATTGATATCTAAAACCAACCCCCAATACTGCCTCTGTAATCCTGTTATGCCAATTTGTGCAAATACAAAGTTTTATCCTTTAAAAAACTATCAAGAATCCAATTTCTACATACTTCTAAGCCATTCTGTATTTAACTGTCTTGAAATACATAATCAGGGGGTTTCAGTGAGGTACTATGAAAGGCTAAAAGAGGCTGCTGTTGAGTCAACTCCATTCTGTGATGGAGGCCAAGGGATAATGACACACTGTTATATACTTGGTAGGTAAAGCTTAGGAGACCATCAAGGCTGAAAGACAATTTTCAAAGGCAGGGTTAGGTGGTAGAGAAATTAGTGTAAACCTCCAATTTCTGACCTATTCTCTGAGGGATGAATACATGTTTCTATTAATGGCAGGTTTCTGCATTAATATGTAGCTGGGATTTCTGCAATGGTTGCATTAATTGCTAGTCAATGTGTAACACTCACCATGCTAGATTTGCAACTGATAAATGTATTTTTTATTTTCATACTGTTAATAAATAGTAGTCCTTATTTTCCACAGAGTATAATAAATTTACATTTTTCTGAAAATGTGCATTAGTTAGTGGTTTTAGGGAAACTTGATAACATAGTGTTCATATGTGTCTTCAAATCTGTAATCTGTATTAAAAAGAAATGGGAGAACTAAGTGATAAATTTGGGGCTGGAGATGTGGCTCAAGTGGTAGACTGCCTGCTCTGTGAGTGCCTGCCTGCTTTGCAAGCTTGAAGCCCTGAATTCAAACCCCAGACCTACCAAAAAATTTTTTTTAAAAAAGTGATAAACTCATGCGATTACATTATTCTAACCTTTCAAATCTGAAGATCCCCTTCAAACACTGTTAGAACATTTGGCATAGTAATAATCTTTTTCAACTGGACAAAGGTTTGTGGTGTAGTTTAACTGACCCCTGTAAGTGGCATGTCTTTAGTACATTACATGTTCAATCACTGCAATGAATAAATAAATGTTAAGGCTTTTAGCACCAGCAGTATTGCCAAACAAGACAGGAAAAGAGAAGAATAAGTGAGAAGTCTATACCTGTGCTACTCAAAAGTGTGACCTATGGATCAATGCTGGCCCACAAACTATTAACTATTCCCAAAAAAGGAATACATCAAGTCCCGCACAATAGCAAACTGTGCAGTTCATCTATTTTTTGAGAAGACAGTCTCCATGAAAGAAGCACTAAGTACATCCTTATGGACTTATAAAAATAGTTTGCAGACCAGTTGCGTTGAATAGCATTGGTAGAATACGGAGGGTATAGTCAAAGAAGAAAGAAAAAAGGAATTTGTGTTTCTATATTCAGAAAGAGGCTGAACAGGGGAAAATTCCAATATGGATTACACAAAAGCAGGGGGAAAAGTGAGATAGTTCTTGCATAAAACACCTGTACAATCTTGATGAAGAAGGAATTTTGTTGAACACTCACCTCTGGTCCTTAATCATCAATGTATTCAAACGGCTCTGGGGGTTCTGGCTCTTGTTCCTCCTCCTCAATTTTTGGGCCATGTGCTGCCACAGGTTCCACTAGCTCTTCAATGTCTTCACTGGTGTCTTTCAGAATTATGATGCCTCCAATGGAGAGCTGTAAACACACAGATAGGAGGGAAGCAGCATAAGCTCCACTCATATTTCAAGATGCTTTACAAGTTAGAGTGGGTACTTGCTAAATGGTACCCCAAAACTACCTGATTTACAAGGGAAAAACTGAGGGAGAATGATCATAGAACAAAATAACTGTGAACTCTATGGAGTCACTGCAAACTTAATCAAGGGCTTTGCATGGTATAACATGTGATGCTGCATGCCAACTTGAGAATGGTATCTCCAGTTACACACCTGGCTACCAGCTTGACTGCAAGCAGATGTTTATTATTCTAACACAGCACCCCGAGGCCTTCCTGTTTAAGATAGTATCCCTGCACCAGTAGCATCATCACCACCTTGGAGCTTACTAAAAATGTGGGGGCTGGAGATGTAGTTCAAGAGGTAGAGTGCCTACCTAGCAAGCATGAAGTCCTGAGTTCAAACCCAAGTACCAAAAAAGAAAATGTGGAAAATCTGGTCCCACCTTGGACCTGCATTTTAACAAGATCCAAGCTGGTATAAATGCATATTAGTTTTAGAAACACCCTAGCCTAATATATACTATTTTGGTGAGATAGTCACCACTTTGGATGCAGGAGAATCTACAAACAAAAAGCTAAAATTTATCAGCAATTTCAGAATAATGGAGAAAATATCAATACACCTGAGTGTTTTCACTTTAATCTATAAATCCTTATGATGTAAGCCAATGGAAAACAGATGGGAAACAAAAGGAAAATAGACTGCAGTAGCAATTCTATTAGCCTTCTCTCCACATATGAGCAGAAGGCAAATTCAAACAGCAACTATTCACTATCTCTGGTGTGCTAATCTTATTCTGTTTGCTTGCCTGTGTCAGAGGAGATGGAAAGCTGCTCTTTGTAATTAAATCAGTCAACAGTGGCGGGCACATCTGGAAGAAGCCTAGTTCTACCAAAGCGCATTAGTGGGCAGGAAAAGCAGTGCAAGCACATTAGTCAAGTGATTCACATATGTATGAGTGTCTCTGCAGTTGAAGCTAATCCAATTTTTACTCATCAGGACTCAGTCATGCTGTAAAGCTAGCATGCCCTCATCAATTTCTAAACTATTTCCCTCTCCCCACACACATCACACAAACTAATCTGTAACTCTCCCCACACACTAATCCGTAACTCTCCTTAAAAAGTTTGCTTTTTTGTTTTTTAAAGAATGCACTTTATGGACAGACTCTGCCTTTACATCAATGCTCACCCCAAGAACAGCAGAGTATATGACACTGTCCTGATCCTCCATAGCCTGAAAGTTTAATTGAACTTAATAGACTGAATGCAGATGAATCTTCTACCAAACACAAGAAAACACCCACGATCACAAGAGGACTTCCTATTTTTTGGAAACATGTAGCTCCAGGTTGTGGCTACTACTTGGTGCTTAACAGAAGTGAAATAATCCAAATCAAATTCAGCATTACAATCAACATGAAGACAGTTGTTGATAGCTCTACTTGGTTTGGGTTGACTACTGCTTTGTATACTGGAGAGGAAGTTCACACACTGCAAGGAGAAAGTAAGATACTCTGTTCTCTGGAAAGGCTAATAACAACTGAAGACACTTCAACAGTAAGTGTCTCCACTAACTTTTTCTTAGACTGGCCTCAAACCATGATCCTCTTGATCTCTGCCTCTGGAGTAGCTCGGATTAGATGTATAAGCCATGGTGCCCAGCTGAGTCTTTTATTAAACTGAGATACAATTTACATAACATGAAGTTCATTCTTTTAAAGTGTAAATATAGTACGTTCACAAACATGTACAACAACCTCTCCTATCTAATTTAAGAGCATACACCTATTAGCAGTCCTCCTTCATTTTCCCCACCCTGCTCCTCAGCAACTGCTAATCTGTATAATATGTGGCCTTTTATTGTCTGGCTTTTTTCATTTAGCATGTTTTCAAGGTTCATACATACTGTATATTCATTTATACTGGACAGACATTTGAGTTGTTTCTACTTTTGGGTGATTTGCAGAATGCTTATATATGAACATTTGTATACAAGTTTTTGTGTGGACACAGCTTTCATTTCACTTGGGCATGGACTCGCTAGGTCACATGGTAGGACGACATCTACCTTTTTGAGAAACTGCCAAACTTTTCTATATAGTGGGTAAAACAGTTTATGTTGCCATATCCTTGCCAGCATTTGTTACTGTTTATCTTTTTTATGACAGCCATTCCACTGGGTATGATATAATAACTCCACTGGTTTTGATTTGTATTTCCGTATTTAGCAGTGATGCTGAAAATCTTGTGCTTTTTGGCCATTTGTACCTTCTTTGGAGAAATGTCTATTCTAATACTTTGCCCATTTATCTTTTTATTGTTGAATTGTTAAGAAGTCTTTATGTATTTTTGATACAAGTGCATTATCAAGTATATGATTTCAGAATATTTTCTCTTATGGTGGGAGGGGTCATTTTTTTACATTTTTGTTGGGTTCTTTGCAGCACAGAGTTTTTAATTTGATGAAAATCAATTCTTTTTAATTTTTTTGGCGATTCTGGGGTTTGAACTCAACCTCATACTTGCTATGTTGCCATTCTATCACTTCATCCCTTCCCCCCCTTTTTTTGGGTCTCTTGTGCCTTGGGTATAGGTTGAGCATGACTAATCTGAAATTGGAAATCTGAACTGTTCCAAAATCTGACACATTTTAAGTATCAACATGACACCATGAGTGGAAAATCCCACACCTGACCTATTATGATGGGTTGCAGTCAAAAGCAGGCAGGCTTAGAAAGTTGTCTAAAATGACCTATAGGCTGTGTGTACATGAAATAAAATGAACCGTGTTTATTAGCCTTGGGTCTCATCACAAAGATACATGTATGCAAGTGTCCCCAAATCCAAACTCCGGGAACACTCTGGTCCCATGCATCTCAGGTACAGACACTCAACCTGCATTTTCCATAAGAAAACAGTGCCTAATCTAGAGTCATGAATAGTTACATGTATACTGTTTTCTAAGAGTTTGATATTTTTAGCTCTTATGATTAAGTCTTTGGTCCATTGTTAGCTACCTTTTGTATATGAGGTGAGATGGGGGTCCAATTTCATTCTTTTACAGGTGGGCAGCCATCCTGTCGTCATGGCACCATGTCTTTAAAAAGAACCTCTTTTTTCCTCATTGAATGATCTTAGTGCTCTTGTTAAAAACCCTCTTCCATAAACGTTTATGGTTTACTCCTGGACTCCCAATTGAGCTGCATTGATCTGTATGTACCTTCGCTCTTCTGCCAGTACTCTATGTCTTAATTACTGTGCTTTTGTAAAAAGAGCTGAAATTGGGAAGTGTGATTCTACCAGTCTTGTTCTTTTTCAAGTTCCTTTTCGCTATTTCAGGTCCCCTGTACTTCTACATGATTTTTATTTATTTATGCATTTTTAACTTTTTTGGGGCAGTGCGGTTTGAACTCAGGACCTCACACTTGCTAGGCAGGTGCTCTTACCACTTCAGCCACTCCACCAGCCCTTTTTTTGTGACAGCTTTTTTTGAGATAGAGTCTCTCACACTATTTGCTTGGATTGGCTTCGAATCACAATCCTCCTGACCTCTGCCACCTGAGTAGCTAGGATTACAGTATGAGCCATTGGTGCTTGGGCTACATGAGTTTTAGGAGGAGTTTGTCCACTTCTGTAAAAAAAAAAGGTAGCAGGGAATGTGAATTTGCAGATCAAGCTGAGCATTATTGACATCTTAAAATATTAAGGATTTTGCCTGGGCACAGTTGCTCACTTCTATAATTTTTATTACTCAGAAGGTGGAGATTGGAAGGATCATAGTTCAAGGCACTTTGCGGGAAGTTTCGTTTCTTTTCTTTGTTGGGGGAATGATGGTTTGAGATATGGTCTCACTGTGTAGCCCAGGCTGGCCTTAACTTGTGATCCTCATCTTTGTCTCCTAAGAACTGGGATTACAGGCATGCCCTACCACATTGAGCCAAACTTTTCTGATTTCTAATTCAATTTCTTTCATTGCTATATGTCTATTCAGATTTTCCACTTCTTCTTGAGTCAGTTTTGGTACTTTGTGTCTTTCTAGGTATTTGATCTTTTCATTTAGGGTACCTAGATATATATGACTGTTGATATGCAGTTGCTCGTGCACTTACTCCCATATTATCTTCTTTATTTTTGTAAGGTTGGGCTGTAATATGTGTCCCACTCCCATTCTTCCTTGATGTTAGTAAAACAAAACCAACTTTTGGTTTTGTGCTTTTATTAATGTTTTCTTTCTGCTCTAATATTTATCATTTTTCTGCTTGATTTTGATTTAGTTTACTTCTTTTTCCTAGTTTCTTGAGGTGGAAGGCTAAATTACTAATTTTGAGATCTTTCTCTTAATTAAAAAAATGTTTTTTGAGGTGCGGTTTTGCTGTATTGCCCAGGCAGGCCTTGAACTCCTGAACTAAAGTGATCCTTCTGTCTCAGCATACTGAGTGGATGGGGAAAATTTATTTATCTACAGTATTACCACCAACCACGACTACTGCCTTCCTTTTTGATACAGGCCTTCACAGCTAACCAACTCCCCTTACGCACTGCTTTCAGTGAATCTGGTGAATTTTGGTATGTAGCTGTTCTCACTTCTCTCCAAGTATCCTCTAGTTTTCCACATGTCTCTTCTTTGTTCCACTTGTAACCTAAAAGAACGTTGTTTCATTTCCACATATTTGTGATCTCCTCAAATTTGCTCCTGTTATTCATTGCTACTTTCATTCACTTGTGGTTAGGGAACATACTTTGTATGAGTTCAGTCCCTTTAAATTTGCTGAGATATGTTTTATGGCCTAATATGTGATTGATCCTGGAGAATGTTCTATGTGTGCTTCAGAAGATGTGTATTCTGCTATTGTTGGACAGATTGTTCTGTAGGTTTATTAGGTCTAGTTGGTTTATGCTATTTAAGCATTCTATTTATTGATCTTCTGCTTAGTTGTTCCATCAGTTCTTACTGAAAGTGGGATACTAAAATCTCCAACTGTAATTGTTGAGTTGTCTGTTTCTCTCTTCAATTTTGTTAAAGTTTTCTTCATATATTTTGGGGTTCTGTTGTTAAATGCATGTATCTATAAAAGTTGTATTTCCTAATTCATCAGCCTTTTTATCATTAGAAAATACTTAGTTTCTAGCAACAATTTCTATCTTAAAGTTTGTTTTGTCTGATATTAGTAAAGCTGCCCTACTTCTCTTTTGGTTACTGTTTCCTTGGCCCACTTTTTCCTCATCCTTTCCTTTTTTTTTTTTTTTTTTAAAGTAGTTCTGGGGTTTGAACTTAGGACCTCAAGTTTGTTAGGCGGGCACTCTACCACTTGAGCCATGCCCACAACCCCTATCTTTTTGCTTTCTATTTATGTCTACTTTATGTCTACTTTTTTTTCTGTTTGTTTGTTTTTTGGTGGTGGTTGTTATTTGGCTACATATCTTGCTATGTAGCCCAGGCTGGCCTCAATCTCAATATCCTCGTGTTTCAGCCTCCTGAGTGCTGGGATTACAGGCATGTACCATTAATCTGGCAAAGTGGTAGTTTCTGTGTCTTGAGCATGTCTCTTCTAGAAAGCATGCCATTTCATCATTAAAAACAAACAAAAAAAAACCCCCCCCAAAAAAAAAACATTTGGCCAAGCTCTGCTTGGAATGTTTAAGCCATTTATATTATGCAATAACTGCTAAGTTATGATGTATGCTTGCCACTTTGCTTTTTGTTTCTTTTTTTTTGGTTTGAAGTTTGAACTGAGAGCTGCATGCTTGCAATGCAGGCGTTCTACCACTTGAGCCACACCTCCAGTCCTTCTATATGTTTTGTATCTTTTGTTTCTCTGCTCTCAATGGTTGGCTTCTCTAGTATTGCATATGTATTATCTAGTGTACTACTCTAATTCTCTGATTAGTTTCACTTTATTTTTGGAGTTATTTTCTTAGGGTTGTTTTAGGATTACAATTAACATTGTTAACAATCTACTTTGACTAATATCAATTTAATTTCAATAGAATACAAAACTTTACCATTAGGTAGCTTTGTTGCTTCTAGATTCCTCTGTGCTGTTATTTTAATACAAATTACATCTTCATTTGTGAGCATATCATTACCAATTTATTTACAATCATTGTTCTGTACAGATGTCTTTTAAATCAGATAGGAACAACAAGAGTTAAATTAAACAAACAAACAAACAAACAAACAAAACTCTAGGGCTGGAGATGTGGCTCAAGTAGTATAGTGCCTGCCTGGCAAGCAAGAGGCCCTGAGTTCAAACCCTAGTACCATCAAAAAACAACAAAACCCCAACCCCCAAAACATTTACACTGTCTTTTTAAAATATTTATCTAGTTATATTTACTAGTGCTTCCAGTCCATTTTGCTCTAATTATTTTGGAGCTAGGGTCTCTTGAACTATTTGCCTGGGATGGCCTTGAACCTAAATTCTTCTGATCTCAGCCTCCCAAGTGGCTAGGTATAATCCTAGCCACTGTACCTGGCTTGAATCCTTGTACTTTTGAATATGTCATCCCACTGTTTTGTGGCTGCTGTGGTTCCTGGGGTTGGAAGTGTAGGTCAGTGTTAGATTGCTTGCCTAGCCTGTATGGGACATGGGGTTGGATCCCTAGCACTACCAGGGGGTGGGGGTGGGGGTGGTGGAGGAAAGAGGGCTAGTGGATTGGCTCAAGTGCTAGAGCACCTATCTAGCAAGTATGAGGGCCTGAGTTTAAACCCCAGTGCCTCCAAAAAAGAAAAAGAATTACCTCCTAATTTATTGAGGATGCTTTGTATGTACTGAGTTGTTTTTCTTGCTGCTTTTAAGACTGTTTTTGACACTTTGATTGTGTGACTAGGTATGGATTTGTCTGAGTTTATTCTATTTAGAAATGACTGATCATCTTGGATGTACAAATTAATAGTTTTCATCAAAATTGGGAAGTTTTTGGTTATTATTTTTTCAAATATTCTATTGCCCTTTTCTCTGTCTTCTCTTTCTGGACTCCCAATCATGTGTGACTAGAAATTAAAAGACTAGTCTTAGTTACACTGCTAAGAAAAGAAAGGATTGAAATACAAACCCAGTTAGTGTCCATTTTCAGCTCTAACCACTATGTACTCTATTTTCCATTTCCTGCCTTTGTCTCAAGACCTTTGCTCACACCTCATGAAGAGTTGACTTTGACCCACCATCAGGTCGATAAAGAATAAACTTACTCCTGTATAAATATTTAGAAATCTTATTTACAACATTTCAGACAGACTCAACAACTGGATGTCTTAAATGGGTCTACCGATGACTCTTTAGTTTTCTAGATTCAAAAGTTGGATGATAAAAGCAGTATCATGCTAAAGTTTTTGGTAAGCATTTTTTCCTCCATTTTTATTAGGATACATTTATTGTACAGGGGGCATCAGTAAGCATTTTTAACATGAAATATTCTTCCTTAGGATAAATTAAATGTTATGAAGATTCTTTTCTAACTTTAAAATTCAATGTGTTTATGACAGCACTGTAATTATAATGACAATTATCATTTATTGAACAGAGCCAGGTCTCCTTCTGAGTGCTTGTACGTTAACTTGTTTGATCTGTGTCACATCCCTATGAGTTGGGGATAATAATCCCTATTTTGAATAGGGGAAATTGATGGACAGAAAGGCTTAGAACCTGGGCCAAAGTCACATAGCCTATGAGTGCTAGAATCCAGATTCAAACTCAGTATGTTTGGCTCTATAGTATGTTCCTAATTGCCATGCTGTATTAGGAACTTATGAAATAAGTCTATGGCAGAAGAGGGGAGAAACTTACAGGGTTACAAACAGAAAAGAACAGCTCTCCAATATCTGTATGAAACAGAGGTGAAAGTTCTCTCTTTTGCTAAGAGTAGGTTTCTTAGTACTAGCCAGTTTGCTCCAGTGCTTTGGGGGTTCATCCTTCTCCATCATATTCCATTATTCTACAGTTTAACTTCCCACTGGCATATATAGTTAAGAGCCACTGGTAACTTACTGGTTTGAAAGGCTGGTATCTACAGGTCTCTGGCATGGTTAGGACCTTAAGCTGAGCAGGCATAACTCGGGCTGGGTTATCCAATAACTGGAAATTTGGTTCAGGCTCTTTTTTCTTTTCCTTTTCTTCTTTTTTCTCTGCCTCATCCTATAAATGGGGAAAAAAAAAAGTCAACTCAACAGAGGTTCCTTTTTGTCCCACGTTACAGAGTAATGCTTGATACGCTTATAGAGCAACTATTAGGTGCAAAAGGTAGTGACAGACAGACAGAATGGAAGCACAATTAAATGATACCAGACTCAGAGAGGAAGTAACTCTGCTTAGGGATGAGAATGGTATCTGGTTTGGTTCTAAAGGATGAGAAAGTTTTTCTACCAGCAGCAATCAGAAAGGGATTTTCTTTTTCCTACCATTATCTCATCATCTTCTGAAAATTCTACTCTGCCCTTGAAAACTGTTTTTTCCTTAGGCGCTTTACCAGTTGAGCCACTCAGCCAGCCCTACAAAACCTATTTTAGTTTTCATTTTCTCTAGGAACTCACTCCTGATTGGTACCCTTCTATTCTTCTCAAAAATATAGTCTCTAGACTCTCTTTCAAATAAAATTATATATTCTATATGCTGGGAACAGGATAAGTAAATTTGTAAGAAGCCAAGAGCAATGAATAATAATAATGTTCAATGAATGAAGAATCTTACAGACATTAGATACATCAAACCCAGATGACCTCTACATTATACATACCACTTCCATTTTTTCTTCCTCCTTTTTCTCTTTTTCTTTTTCCTTCTTTTTAGCTTTGGCAGTAATAGATAACACAGCAGTAGAAACCTAGAGAAAGTGAACAGGTCAATTACTGTAATCTCTTAACTACATTCAAAGAAATAAGCCCAAAGAGAACCCTTACAGTAAGTAGTATAAAGTATTATAAAAAACAGTAACTGGAGAATACATGGGAAAAGCAAGCAGGACATTTATTTACGTAATTTACCCATACTGACATCAGGAGAATCTTGGCTCCTGGAGGCTGTTTCCAATAGAGTGCTAATTTTTCCTAATCCTTAGCCTACCCTGATGTGGATTTGCTATCATGTACGTTTGAGATAGAGATCTGGCTGTTACAATCTTTTTGCTTTTATAGGGAAAGCAATGGAAAACACAAAAATTTTCTCTAGGCCTAGTCATAGGTATGTTCTCATGACCAGATGCCTTGAAATGAGGCAGGTGCTCTACCACTTAAGCCACTCCACCAGTCCAGGACTTTGAAAAGCTGGGCAATATTGCAGCAAAAGTTGACTGTTTCAGTAACTGAAAGGGTGGTCTGAAACAGCAGATGAGACAAGATGTTCTCAAAAGATATCCAACATCACCTGACACTCGAATTTGGTCAATTATGTAATTATCCCTATTCACAGACAAAGCTTAGTACAGGGCTGGAGGCATGGCTCAAGTGGTAGAGTACTACTTGCTTTGCAAAGTGAAGTCCTGAGTTCAAACCCTAGTCCAACCAAAAAACAAAAACAACAACTGGCTAATATGAAACACTGAAACATTATCCTGAACGAAGGAACCATTTTTCCATCATAAGATATCATGAAAGGGTAATTTTATTAACTTCATGGGCAAGTGAAGTTCTTTAAATGCACCATTCTTTTACATATCATTGAGTATCCTCATATACTGTTGGTAGGAGTATAAACTGGTTATATCCATTTTGAAAGGAATATCAGTTAATACCTATGAAAATAAATAACATGCAGTACTTTTTTTTGGTGGGACTGGGATTTAAACTCAAAGCTTTGCACTTGCAAAGCAGGTGCTTTAACCCTTGAGCCATACCTCTAGCCCATTTTGTTCTGATAATTTTTGGTGATGCAGTCTCTCGAACTATTTGCCTGCGCTGGCCTCAAACTGAGATCTTCCCAATGTCAACCTCCCAAGTAGCTAGGAAAACAGGTGTGAGCCACTGGCACCCAGTTCATTCACACAGTGTTTTTGATCAAACAATTTCATATCCTGTTTTTTTTGTTGTTGTTTTTTGTGGTACTGGGGCTTGAAGTTGAGGCCTACACCTTGAAGCCACTCCATCAGCTCTTTTTTGTGAAAGGTTTTTTCGAGATAGAGTCTTGCGAAGTCTAACTGTGATCCTCCTGAGTAGCCACTGGCACCGGGCAAATTAGAACTTAGAATTTCATATCTAAGCTTCTAACTTATTGATATACTTGCATAAGTGCACAAGTAAATTTTTATAAAGACCTCCATTCTAGTCTTATCCACAGTAGGGACAGACATAAAATTATTTCTCTGGAGCTTTGAGAAAAAACCAAGATCCACATATACTGAAATATTAATGATATATTATTGAAGTAAAAATAGCAAGGCATAGAATAGCATGTAGGGAATGACTGCATTTGTGGTATAAAAAGTGCCGAGCAGAGAACACCTTTTGAGGAATTCACAAGTTGTGACTCCTATAACATGAGACATAGACATGGTGAGAGGAAAAGGGCTTTTACTTTATATTCTTGGTAATATAAATGTAAAAAAAGAAAAAGAAACACTCAGTGGCTCCTCTTTATAAGAACAAATGCTGCTCAAAGGAACAAAGAACCTACCTTTTCCTTTTCTTTTTCTTTTGGTACTTCCAGAGGAGCAGGATATGCAAATGTGGATGGTTTACAGTTTGATTTATACTGAACTTTCGGCATCTGAAGAAATAAAAGAAGTTTTTTGCTCTCTCCATACAATATAAAAATTTACTATCCTATGTTTTCAATAAGCATACAGATGCAAAGGGAGACCAGAAGTTTCCATGCAAGTCAAATGTTCAATTACAGAGCGCTACTCAAGTGTTACCATTCCTCTCTGAAAGGCATCTGTTCTTTTATTGAAATAGTTTTTAGGAGCTTTATAGAATTATCTCAAGTTCCCTATAGTTCCTGCCTTTGAACAAGCACCCCTTTATTTCATCTTTCCTGATCACCCACCCTGCTTCAGTGGGTGAAGTCCTCCTTATGTGTGAACATCAGAACAACTGTTTCTAAAGTGTTATATGATTAACTATTCTGCCTCCCAAACTCCCATGATATTTTCTTGTGTCATACCTGACAACTTGTACAAGTCTGTAAATAGTTCCCGTACCATATAATCATGCCTTATGAAATTTTAATACGTGTTTAATGGAAAGTCAGCTTCACATTATTTACTGAGCAGGTTTAAAGTTCTCTAGCCTGCATTTTTCTCTATTTACCTAAATTGCATAGATGGACAATGGTAATCAGCACCATATTTACTGGGATGAGGAGCCTCATCTTCTCCACGTCATTGTAAAGAATGAAAACAGAGCTGGCCGAGTGGCCCAAGTGGTAGAGTGTCAGCCTAGCAAGCATGAGGCCCTGAGTTAAAACTCCAGTATCACCAGAAAATAAAATAAAACAACAGGACAAGCTGGGCACTGGGGGCCCACACCTATAACCCTAGCTACACAGGAGCTTTTATCCTCTGCCAAATGATTTTATTATCTGTTTTCATTCCTTTTGTTTTATTTATTTATTTTATTTATTTGTAGTACTGGGGCTAGAACTCAGTGCCTTCACCTTGAGCCACTCCACCAGCCTTTTTTTGTAATGGGTTTTTTCAACATATGGTCTCTCGAACTATTTGCCCAGGCTGGTTCCAAACCATGAACTTCCTGACCTCTGCCTCCTGAGTAGCTAGGATTACAGGTGTGAGCCACTGGCACCTGACAGGAAACCAAAATATTCTTGTTTAGAGAAATAAAAAATGCTCAATATTTACAATTGTGACCAGTTTTTTTTTTTTTTTTTTAATGGTACTGGGGCTCAAACTCAGGGCCTTCAACTGAGTGAAGGGCCACTCCATCAGTCTGTTTTGTGATGGGTATTTTCAAGATAAGAGTCTTGTAAACTATTTGCCCAAGCTGGCTTTGAACTGTGATCATCCTGATATCTGCCTCCTGAGTAGCTGGGATTACAGGCATGAGTCCCCAGTGCCTGGCCAATTGTGACCAGTTTTAACATTGAAATACTTAACAAAGAATAACTGGTTGTATGGCTACATTGAAAAATCAATATGATGAAATACTCAATCAGCCAATTTTTCCACCTTGAAATTTAGTAAAATATTTTAACATCAGTGATAACCATGTGTAAGAGCTAAAGGTCAAAAAGCCTTTCACCTTTAAAGAAAAACAAAAAGATGAATTATTAGGCCACAAAATTGAAAAATATCTAAACACAAATCTCATTTAAAAAAATATGATAAAAAATATGATGACAGGGCACAGAGCACCTTAATTCTTTAATACAAGCAACCAGTTTCATTCTGTCAGAGCTCTTCGCTGTTGATCTTGTTTTCTGCCATTACCAAAAGGACATCCTATTTTGTTTTTCCCTTTATTAATAATCCTTTCTTTCTTCAGTTATTCTAGTGTCATATAACCTTGAAATGTGTATTTTTGTCAAACCTTTATTCCTTATTGGTAAGATTTAGTTTAGGTCCTTCTTCTTCCTTGCCCAGATTACTATACTAGAACTGCAGCAGGTTTCTACTGATACCAGAATGATCTTTCTTTCTTTTTTTTTATTATTCATATGTGCATACAAGGCTTGGTTCATTTCTCCTCCCTGCCCCCACCCCCCAGAATGATCTTTCTAAAATGCAAACACTTTGTCATTTATCTGCTTGAAATCTTTCAACAGCACTTGCAGACTTTCAGGATTAAATAAAATTACTCAGAGTGTTCTATAAAGTCTCTTCAAAGATTCACTCATAGATTACACTGCTAGTAATAACCCTTTCAAAATTTCCAGATACACTACTAAACAAGGTGATGACTCAAATTGAAGGGAAAATGTGCTACTGAGATGCTAACTGATTGCCAAAATTTCACAGGTGAATATGAATAGGGTACACTACAAAGCCGAGGCCTCACAAACATACCTTTAAGTCCTTGTTAAGGCCAATGACACAGGTAGGGGTATAAGCCAATGACAGGAAGTGTGAAAGAGGAAACCAGAACCAGAACTGGGTAAAGACAAGGACGCCAACCACAGAAGGCATATGAGTGTGTCCAGTCCTGGACTGTAAGGAGATTGTGACATTATGACCACCTGCAGAAAAATAAAGAGAAACCATGAACAGCAATCCAGTAGAGCAATAACAAATATTTCTAAGTGCATTTTAATGCATATTTCATATTATCTAATATGGAGTTCTTGGAATCAGGCAGCGAGCTACCTATATTGGAAGTACTTTACTTTAACTGAACTCAGAGCAAATCTAGAAATTTCTTTTTTTTCTTTTTGGTAGAACTGGAGTTTGAATTCAGGGCTTTGTGCTTGCAAAGTCAGTGCTAGAAAAGCAGGTGCTCTATTGCTTGAGCCACACCTCCAGTCCATTTTGCTCTGGTTATTTTGGAGATAAGGTCTTGTGAACTATTTGCCTGGGCTGACCTCAAACCTCATGACCTCAGCCTCCAAAGTAGCTAGGATCATAGGCATAACTCACTGGCACCTAGAACTTTTTTTTCCTACAAGCAGGTAGTTTTTAAAATGTAAAACTGAAGGGTATTAAAAATAGGTTAAATATTAACCTATGTTATATAGTGGCATTTAATGTGCAAATAAAAAGTAAAAAAAAAATTAATGGTGCGGGCATTTGAACTCAAGGCTTTGCATTATTTTGAATGACAGATGAAAGCCACTGTATCCGGCTATTGGATGAGATGGGGCGTCTTGCTAACTTTTTGCCTGGGCTGGCCTCGGAATTCTTAATCTCAGTCTCCCAAGTAGCTAGTATTACAGGTATGAACCACATGCCCAACTTATAATTCACATTTGTAAAAGAAGTAATAGTAAAGAATATTTTTCTGATGACTTTTGTTCTTTTAGGTGCTAATAAGCAGCATAAAATTCTTAGAGTTATGAGAGACAACCATTACAAGTTATGAAGACCTATGTGCAATTATAGAAAAATCAAAGCATTGAACTGTATTTTCTTATTTATTAATAGAAGGCATTAACTAGTTTTGTGACCACTGACAAGCCCTCCTTTACTTCCATTTTTCCATTAGCAACATGAGAGTTTAAACCTCAGCACCTGAACTAGGTCACTATCACTACAAAAAGAGAAATTCAACCACTAATCTTTGGTTCAACTGAAAGTTTTCTCAAGAAACACAATATATAAAACAATGAAATGAGAGCTGATCTTCTTAATCTGAAGTTTGGACAGGCTGGGTGACAGCTGCAATCCCAGTGCTTGGGAGACCGAGGGGAAGGCTCAAAAGTTCATGGTCAGCATCAGCTACACACTGTGTTTGAGTATGGGCTACACATCAAGACCCTGTCTCAAGGCAAAAATGTTTGGATTGTGAAAGGGTGTATGGCTTGGAACTCGACCTGTTCGACCCCTTGCCATGTCTGATACACTATTATCCCTCTACAGAGTGCAGAGAAACACAGCTTGAAAGTCAGTGAACTAGAGTTAGGAGAGCTGGATTTTATTGAGCCCTTGTACTGCTAAAATTCCAGGAAGCTATTATGGGTTGCAAACTTGAATGCCTTTAGGAACCAGTCAGGTAAACAAATGAGAAAAAAGCTGGCTAGGAGTAGTGAGGATTGAAGCAAGCTGGAAAGTACATGTTCTGTTTAAATTGGCCCAGACTGGACTTGAACTCACAACCCTCCTATCTTAGCATCCCAAGTGCTATGCTCCCGCCTGGTCCTGGGTAGGTACCTCACAGGTCCTGGTCTCCCAGCCTGCCAAACATTTTCAATTCCTGCCCAGATGGACCCTCCCGCACAGCCCTTCAGCACATACTCCATGTGCGAGGGAAGTCACGGGGATGGGTAGGGTACTCAACAGTACTGAGTTGCACAGTGTCACCCAGCCCAGTGCTCTGTCATGTGAGCACTGGCTGAATCTCGGCCTGGCCCAAACAGGTGTGCCCTCCATGCTCGGGTTGGAATGGCGGGCAACACTCGTCGTCACGGGCCTCCAGTGGGCTCCATGCGGCGTCTAGGCCCTGCTAATAATAAACCTTGGCTTTTCTTCCTGAGAGATCGATCAATCTTTTAAGTAAGATCTCATAAACTTAAACTATACTTCTTTAAAGTTGCTCTCTACAAGAATTAAAAATAAATAAGTAAAAAATAAAGTTGCCCTATCCAGATTTTTCTCTACCACTAACTTTACTGAGAAATATAGACCAGGACTGAAAATGTGTGTAATGCAGTTGTAGCACAATTGCTGCTGGGAGGGTGGAGATAGAAGGATCAAGCTACAAGGCCAGCTGGGGTAAAATTAGGGCGTCTATCTGGAAGATAAGCCAAGCATGGTATACATGCTTGTAATTCCAGCTACTCAGGAGGTGGAGGTAGGAGGACAGAGGTGCTGAGTTTAGCCCAAAGCACAAAAAAAAAAAAAAAAAAGCATCAGAGTATCAAGTCCATGTAAATTGAAAACCAAGACAATAGAACTATGTTCCACGGACAATGTACACACAATATAAGGTTACACGACACTAACATCTTCACTGTGTATACATCTAGAACTGAAATGGCTTATTTCATGTAAAACATCTACAGAACATTTTCCTTATCCATATACAACTACAAGGAAATGTTTTAAAATAAAAAGAGAGGAAAATAACTTCAACACAAAAGTTTAGGCAGAAAACTTTCAATTTCTTGGCAGTTAAAAAAAGCTACTGGACAAATGGACTAAAAGATAAAAACATTTGGTTCAAAAATTTAGAAAAGAGCATAAAAGTTCTGAGCAAAAATCAAATAATAAAGAAAAATCTCTTGCTAATCCAAATTTAAAAAGATAAAATTAGAAAGGGGATGAGGATTTTCCTATTTTTAAGAAGGAACAGGTTGGCTGATGGAGTGGCTCAAGTGGTAGAACACCTGCTTAGCAAAAGTGAGGCCCTGAGTTCAAACCCCAGTGCTGCCAAAAAAACAAAACAAGTCTCATTTAATACTACAAAAGATCTCTGAAAAATGGTATGATTAAAATAACAAGCAGAAAACTCTAAGAGATTAATAACAAAAAATTTAAGATAATTATCTAAAAATTGCAGTTTTCTTTTCTGATCTCCTTACTGCAAACTTATATATACTCTTAGTCGACTGAAAAAAGAATGCTGTAACAAATTTGGTTAACAAAGTGTTTTAGTTATAAGAAATACAGATCGTTAATAAATATGAATGAAACATTCCCCTAAATAATGGAACTGCCATATAAACCTTGAAATGCTATTCCTTACCTTTCAAATTAGAAAAGAAATTATTAAGAAGGATTAGATTTCACATGGCTAGGCCTCTGTAAGAATCAGACCCATGAACAATGAAGTGGGCATATATGCTCTTTTCCTTTTCTTTTAGGAGATGCCGCCAACAATAAATTAAGGAATATGACAAACGAACCCCAAGTCTAAGGTATTCAGACATCATTCTGTCTTCCAAATAGGCCACAGTGTAGTACTGCAGAATGTGAATTCTGGAGGCGGTAGGCACACTGTGCCTATATTAGGCCAATATTCCAAATGTCTTATTTTAGCAGTGATTTTGGGTATCAGAATGTCTGAAACAAGCCAGGCACTGGTGGCTCATGCCTATAATTCCAGCTACTCAGGAGGCAGATATCAGGAGGATCAAGTTTCAAGGCCAGCCTGGGCGAATACTTCAGGAGACCCTATCTCGAAAATACCCAACACAAAAACAAGGCACACTGTGCCTATATTAGGCCAATATTCCAAATGTCTTATTTTAGCAGTGATTTTGGGTATCAGAATGTCTGAAACAAGCCAGGCACTGGTGGCTCATGCCTATAATTCCAGCTACTCAGGAGGCAGATATCAGGAGGATCAAGTTTCAAGGCCAGCCTAGGCGAATACTTCAGGAGACCCTATCTCGAAAATACCCAACACAAAAACAAGGCTGGTAGTGACTCAAAGGGCAGAGCGCCTGCTTAGCAAGCATGAGGCTCTGAGTTCAAACCCTAACACCACCACCACCACCACCACCAAAAAAAATAAAAAATGTCTAAAATACAACTTTTTTTTTTTTTTTTGAGTATGAATCTGTTTAACACACAGACTAGGAAAATTAAAAGAAAAAAAAAAAGCCAGACAATACTTATTGATCACTTTACTAAGTGACAGGAACTGTTCTAATTGCTTTCCATATATTTTTAATCCTTTCAACCCTACTAAGGTAGACTTTATAAGATAGGAAAGCAGAAACAGAGAGGAAAGAAATAACTTCTTAAGCTTAGATACTACATAAAAAGACTAAGATTTGCTGGGCATGGTGGCACTTGTCTATAATGCTAGCTACTCAGGAAGCTGAGTAAGAGGATCTCAGGTTCAAAGCCAGCCTGGGCAATCTGGCGAGACATTACCTTAAAATAAAAAAGAAAATAAAATGGGGTGAAGATGTGGCTCAGTGACAGAAAGAATGCTTGGGGAGCATGTGTGAGGGCCTGGGTTCAATCCTCAGCATCAGAGGGGAGAAAAGGACTAGGATTCAAACTCTTAACAGTCTGCATTTGTAACAATGGCACTAAAAATGATCTCTATAGGACTGGGGATGTGGATTTCTATAAGGACTGCCTAGCAAATATGAGGCCCCAAGTGCTGACACACACCAAAAACCACACAAAGAAATAAACAAAAACTCCCCCCCAAAAAAAACAGAAAAAAGAAAAAAGAAACACCCCCCTACCCCCCCAACTAAAATACCAAACAAAACCAACAAAATGAAAACAAGCATTAGGAAGACTAAAAATATTTACCTGCATCCAGTATGCCCTGGGCCAGAATAGCGCCAAACTTGGCCATGACATCATCATGCTTATCATTGATGACTTTGGAATACAGCTGCCTGAATTGATTCACCTGAAGGAGCAAAAAAAGAATTATGGTCTAATTCTATTCATTTGTTGTACCATTTTAGAGCACCCACTAAACTGCTCAAATGGTAATGAGACTCAGTTCCAAATTTTACAACATTCAAGAAGAGAGTGAGATGGAGCAGACGTGAAGGCAGAACAGTTCTGTGCTTGAAATCATGGGTGTTAGGACTTTTCTATGTGGGAGCACTAACTGTTTTCAATCCTCACTCCATAGTAGATGATTCAGGCTCAAGGGAATGCAGTTTCATTCTGTACCACTGTTAATCAGTCAGCAGGCCTAAATAGTCTAAGCAAACTAAGGCTTTCACTGCCTTTTGAGTTACAGGTATGCTGCTTACCATCAGCTGTGCTGATTTCCTAATGGTCTCACCTTCCTTCAGTTTCACCTTACAATAAACTACCCTTCACCCAGGCTGTGTGTGGTAAGTATATTCATGAATACAGGAGAGGTTTTCGTTATACACAAACATTAATTTTCTGAGGACTTGTTAGAATCAGTACTCTTATTAAAAGGAACATACCAAAACAGAAAATATGCTGACTCATTTAGGGTAAGACTAACAGTAACTTTTGTTTGCTTCTTTATTCTTTTCTGCATTTTCTGAACTTAATATGTATTACTTTCATTCTTTAAGAGACTACTTATAAAATAGTTCTTTATAAAGTAAGAGTTCTTTAAATCTGTGTGGGTGGCAGTAAGGAAGCTATCTTATGCTTCTTCCACGTCTTACACTTCTGTTCTCCCAACAGTGCTTTCAGATGGCAGCACTAGGAAGAAGTCTGCTTGCTCAAGAAGCACATGATTATGGAGCTCCCCAGATCCACCAAGAGCAGAAAAACACCAAACCTGAGTTTCCTAATACAATGACTTTGTCTGTATTATATATTCTTTCAGAATGTCTTCCCCTCTTCATTTGTCTTGGTCTGACAGGCCAATGTAATACAGGGACAGAGTAAGAGTCAGGAAACTCTAGCTTATGAAGGTCTCTGCTCTTCTAAGTTACTGGGCCAAATCACTAGATTTTCTTTCTTCTTTGTGGTGAGATGGGATCTTTCAACATTGTCCAGGCAGGTCTTGAACTTCTGGGCTCAAGTGATTCTCTTGTCTCACCCTCCTGAGTAGTTAGGACTACAGGCATGTGCCACCGTGTCTGGCTGATTACTAGCTTTTCTGAGCCTTAGCTTCTTATCGGTTAGCATCTACCTTAGCTACTTATTATAAAGATTACACGAGGTAACATATATGTCATGCAGTAAGTATAAGGCGTTTCATTGTTCAATAAGCATAGCTGTCTTACCATATGGGGAGAGAATCCCACTGGTCCTTCTGGACTATGATCTTTGCAACCTAAACATTGCTAACAAAAAAATGATCCTCAAACAAGGTTCTCCGTTTTTCTTCATAGGCAGCAGCAGATTATAGTAGGGGAAAATAATGAGCTAACTCTTGCTACCTAGTATATGACCATGTGTAAATCACTTACTTCTCTAGGCCTTATTTTCTCTCAACTATAAAAACCCAGCATGATTAAATTCCCTTCTAATTTAAAAAATCCTAAGGTTTGATGCTTTTACTCTGGTCCAACAGATCAAATTCCTTTGATTTTGAACAAATTAGATGAACATTTATATTACCTTATATAGGATGGAAATTTTATGTGCTAAAGGTTTGTGAAATATTTTGTGAACTTATAAAAATAAACACTGAACAAAGCACTGTATGTACATTGCAGAGGAGAATTTAAATATAAAACTGCATCCAAAACTATTTCAGTGAAATTGAAAGATGGATTTTTAAAAGGCAATGGAAGCATCTAACAGGAATACCCAATTAATATTAAGTGTAGTACTTTAAAAAGCTAGTTTTTGTTAATCATTAAAAAAATCTCCTCACATGTGTTTTAGTATATTAGGACAGCATCTTAAAGTGGAAGGAAACTTGGACATCACCTGTTTACTCCCTCTATTTTACAGATGGGAAGACTTGACTTAAATAGTAGAAAACACCACTGACAGACTGTTTCACTGTACCAGACCACAGGCAGATAATCTTAAGCAAGGAGCAGTACCAGATCTTACTGTTTTACACTGTAATTAAAAAAATCTGATTTCATATGTAGGACACTTATTATGAACATGCAATAACTGCTAAAGGTGGATTTCATTTAAGAGCTGTTTGGTCATTACAAATAGTGGCAATCAGGTTGAGGATCATGATTTTCTGACTTAGTTTCATTGTTAGGAATGTGATGGCCTCATACCCAAAACAAAAAGTAGAACTTGAAGAAAATAATATTAATTTATATTATGATAAACTCACAGAAAAGGTAATTTTTGTGATCTATTCATTCTACTGTATATGAGTATATAAATCTACCTTCTCTAAATTATAAATTTTTAATATTCCTCATGATCTGAACTCTATACCTTATACTGCTAGGAAAAAAAAGTCTACTCAAGATGGCAGAAGGGAACAAAATTCTTTGGGGTCATTTCTATTGGTAGTTATCATGTGAGTATACCTCCTCATTTCTCCTATATTTCTAGTTACAGAAATGTAGCTGGGCATGGTTCAAGTGGTAGAGTGCCTGCCTAGCAAATGCAAGGCCCTGAGTTCAAACCCCGACAACCACAAAAAAAGAAAAAAAAAAAGGTAGCTTCATAGGCTTAGTTTGGGAGTTTTTATTTTTTTTTCCTTTTTCCATGGCACTGTATCTGTGTGTGTGACTTCAACTATACACTTACAATTTATTCTATGAAATCCTTGAGACCAGATGCATTTTGCAATTCAGAATTTAGAAAGCTAACACAATGCATATATTATATATTATGCAACACTCCTGGTAGGGTATGGAGCAATATCCCATAATCAAATTAGTATTTCTACAGCAGCAAAATACACAAATATTTATAATCAGTGTGATAAAGGCCATAAATGAGTTCATAATTGGGTCAGGTTTTACAGCCAAGTGAGTCCTTAAAAGCAAACAAACCTCTTTGAGTTTTCAGAGCTTTTTGGATTTCATAATTGTAAAGGGCTATGGATTTATATCATTTCTTTATGGCTAGTTCCCAAATCTCTCTATTCAGTTCTGACTTTTTTTCCTATGCTCCTATTTCTAAATAACTTGCAGTGACCTCATACTCTACATGCCTAAAGTGAAGATTGTTTTTATTCTTTTTTCAACATATTCTTGTTGATGCTTTCAGGATTTCCCTGTTATCAGAATCCACATTTTTCAGTTCCTTCTCAATTTCATCAATATCATTTTGTTTACAGTAGTTTCTTATAGACTAAAATTATCATATGATATAAAATTTCATGCTTTGATTTCATCTTATAAACATTTACATATTTCTCTACAGAACTGAGCACCTGAAACTCACCATGTTCTGAACTCTATACCTAAAATTGCTGGGAAAAAAACACTCTCAGATGGGTAGGGAAAAAGGAAAAAATTCTTTGGGGTCATTCTGATGAATCATTATGGCCCATAAAAAGCCAAATCTACCCAAACTCTGTTTTTTTTTTTTTTTTTCAGTACTGGAGTTTGAGCTCAGGACCTCAGGCTCTCTACCACAAAAAAGTCTGTGTTGAGTATTTTTGAGATAGAGTCTTGCTTTTTGCCCAGGCAGGCCTGGAACCTCAATTCCCCTGATTTCTACCTTCTAAGTAGCAAGGATTACAGGCATGAGCCACCAACAGCCAGCTACGAACTGGCTAAATATGATCCTACTTTCAAAAAAGGTACTTGTCAATAGTGGGCAAAGCTTTCCTGCACCAGACCATACACCAGATGATCTTAGGCGGAAAGAACACTAGATGTTATTTTTACATTGTAATTTTTAAAATATGATTTCGTGTATGCTACTTATTACGTATATATTTAAATATCTGCTAATGGTGGATTTGATTTAATAAGAAAAAAGATAGATGCTTCATAAAGAGGAAAGTTGGGTTGAGAGAAAATAGCTCCAAGGACTTATAAAAGGATACTATTCTAGTTAAATGTGACCTTCTAAGGGCTTTCTAAATTGGCTTTGTAACAATCCAAGGGTGTGTGCATGTTCCTGGGTCTACATTTGTGAGTGTGAGCAAGTGAGAAACTAACAGAAGCAAAACAAAGATGTACTGGAGTTACTTAAACTAATACCACACACAGTGTGTAAAGCTAAGTGCTAGGGATATGACATGTTAGTTCACAAAGACATTTCCTCTGGAAATTTCCATTGCAAATCTCACAAAATATCTAAGGAATTTCTCTTTTGGAGTCCTCTGAGGAAGGGTTATAATTCTTGACAAAATTAATGTCTGATCTTTGCTTCTGAGTTGTTTTCACTTTATTTTGTGGACTGATTTGCAAAACTGCAACTAGGAATCCATAGACTTGAGAACTTACTTCTCTTCAAAAGTAGACATTGTCATATATAGTTTTGCTTTTGTAGTGAGGGTGACCACATTTATGTCAGCATACCTAGTTTATATTAACAGCAAAGGTTACTAGTTATGGTTCATTTCAACATTCTTAATCAGTTCCAATATTCTGATACAATCTGAAGATGGGAGTGTGCTCCTATGAATTCACACTAGTTGAGGCTTCCTTCAACAATACAACTTAGAATGATTTAAAAAATTATTTATTTAAGCCAGGTGCTAGTGGCTCATACCTGTGATCCTAGTTACTTGGGAAGCTGAGATTGCGAGGATCAAAGTTCAAGGCTTAGTTAGCCTGGCCAACCTCTCCAAAATAACCAGAGGTAAAAAAGGGCTGAAGGTGTGGCTCAAGCAGTAGAATGCCTGCTTTGCAAGCATGAAGCTGAGTTCAAACCCTACTACCACTACCACCATAAAGAAAAAAATAACAAAAAAACCCTCAACTTCCCCCCTCAATTAAATTGCTGTACCTTTCAGCTTTCTAAATGTGAAAATTTGTAAGAATTAAGTGCCTTTTCAAACTATCCACTCTACCCTACCACTGTTCATTCAAGGTTATGATCACTAAATCAATGAAATCCTACAGCAAGGATGAGAAGATGGTAAAATGTTTGTCTTGTTGATAATACAGCAACATGAAAGCAACATGTGAGGTCAAAGTGAAAAAATATCCACATACGACTGTTTAAGGAGGTGCGTTCCATGGCCTGCACTTGCTTCTTTAATGGCATTACTCAGTTGGATAACCTCCAAAACCTCAGTACAAGATCAAAAGCAGAAATAAAAGCTACTCATATGATAGCTGATATATTTAAAAATAAAAAGAAATGTGGTCTGTGTTTGGAAAGATGTTTATGTTCTAGAAGACATGGTATATTAAGCAATACATTATAAAAACAGGATAAGAAGTCAAATGATTAGCAACTATTTAGAAACTAAAATTTATTAAACAAAGCTCTATAAAACTAGAAGAATGTATGAGTTCTAGAAAGTTTTCCCTTCCCTATCTCTCTAAATTTACCCATTGAAAATGAGGGTAGTCTATATTTGCTTGATGAAGCAGAAGAGTGAATGTCAATGATTTTTTCTGTTGTCAACTTCGTTTTTTTTTTTTTTTGGTTGTACTAGGGGGTTGAACTAGGGCCTCCACTTGCTAGGAAGGTGTGTAAGCCCTCATTTTTTTTTTATTGCTTCTCATAGATAAGCAGAATTAATACAAGGCTGCTATAACCTGAAGATATGAAATTATGGTATATAAGCTACTTAATATATTAAGCATAATTTTAGTACATGCAAACATATAAATTATATACATTTCTCAACTGAATGCACAGTTTTTAGCTGAAGTGCCAAGATACATTAAATATCAAACACTAATATGCGGTCTGAGAGACTGTCATGAGGAAATTTTTAAGTAAGTTTCTCAAAATGTGTTATGGAGTAATCTAGAGGATGGGTACTCTTTGGGAAGGTTGGAATGTCTTTCCTCTTCATCCAAGTCTAGAGAAAGAGGCTTGAGAGGGACCACTTAGAACACTCAATATGATCAGGGGTCACTGTGCACTGAAAGCCTATTACACTCCTAACCACAAGAAGGGCAAAATATTTGAGTGTTTCTGTGGAGTGGAAGTGGGTCAAGTGGGAAAGAAAGCTGTTCTAAATCATTTGAAGCCCTGCCCAGGAGGGTCAGGATTACCCAGGAGGGCAAGGGTATTCCAACAGAGAATGTGGATGTTTTTAAACTGAGGTTGTCTGTATTATATAAAGTGACTGTGGGATTTTTTTTTTTTTAACTGCCTAAGAAAGATGAATCAGAAAAGCCATGTATGGTTTGAATTTGCATTCTGTATCAGAGTAACAAGTTATTCTTACCAAATTTAAAAGGACATTGAGAAGTAAAAATGTTAATGATTTTACCACAAGTTCTACTTCTTCAAATATGGTTATACATTTAAATTAATACATTAACAATTAATCTGCAAAACATACATTTAAAGAATTCTATGTATAGTTTTCCCATTCTCTTGCCCCTAAAAATGGACTCTTCACTTCCTGTGACTTCAGTGTTCATCAAATTTCTAATAAAAATGTCTTTCAAAGAAGGCAAGCCACTAAAGAAAAAAATAAATCAATCTTTTCCAGAGAATTTCTTTGTTTGCTTACCTTTGGACAAGTGATTTCAGTCTGCTGGATCATGATGAGAGCAGAAGCTATGAGAGCTCCTTGCCTCACGTAGTTCACAGGGTCATTTGTCATTGGTTCTAGCAAATTAATTGCTTCCTAAAAGCATTATTTAAAAAAAAAAAAAAGGAACAAGAAAAAGAATCTTTAAATAAAGCTGAGATGGCTGGATTTCCAAGTGAGTTACTATCACTCTAAGTCAGTATTTTCATCTAACAGTATATTAACAAGTTAACTTAAAAGGACCTGAATATAACAGTTCAGAAATGAGTATGATTTAATATCAATACAATGATAAGTGAAAAAGTGTTAAGAGCTTGAGTGTTCCTATCTTCAGGTAAAAGAGGACATAAAGGAATTATGAGAGAAAAATTATTTAGAGAAAATGAGATCGATATTTGTTAAGCATCTACTATTGTTCAGGCATAGTATTAGGTATCTTACATATGTTATCTCATATAATCCTAAAAACAAACAAATGAACAAACAAAATCCTAATAACAGTCAATACAAAACAATCTTTATAAACAAAGAAACACAGTTTAAAAGGGTATCATACCCAAAATAACGCAAGCAGCAAATCCAGGCAACTACCAGCTCCAAAACTTCTATTCTATTATGTATTCAATCTCCTTTGAATACTAGCATAAGGTAATATGTCAAGATGGTTTTATAAGACTTAATTTTAAAAATTAAATCAAAACAAACAAAAAAGCAAACACAAAAACCACACCCAAAACAAAAAACACTTTACTTAGAATGACAAAGCAAATTAAATAGACCAGAATGGATTTCATGGTCAAAATTAACAAGACCATATGTGATGGGATTTTCCAAAATGTTTACCAGTAGTTCCTTAATAACATGGTGATTCTATGAAAAAAGGATTCCTTGGTTAAGTAACTGGGATAGTTCACTTCCCCTTCTCTTTTTTTCTTTGTGTGTGTGTGTGGGACTGGGGTTTGAACTTAGGGCTTTGCACTTGCAAAGCAGGCACTCTACCACTTGAACAACACCTCCAGTCCATTTTGCTCTGATTATAGTGGAGATGGGAGTCTCCCAAAATATTTGCTCGGGCTAGCCTAGAACTGCGATCTTCCCAATGTCAGCATCCCAAGTAGCTAGGATTATAGTTGTGAGTCACTGGTGCCCAATACCTCACCTCCTCTTGTAGATTCAAAATGTACACAAATATAATTAAAGGTTCTAGGAACGTATGTGTTGTAATAAACACTCTAGGATGCCTTATAATAAAAACGTCATGCACTTTGAATGTCCTAGCATTTGTGCATTATATAAGAACAAGAACACTTTTACCCCATACAACTTCTATGATACCCTGTAGATCTTTAGGAAGTATGCTCTACACTGCAACACTACCTATAAGGACCCAAGCAATGGGTTTGCAGTATTACCAACTTATTTCCAAATTCCGTAGGTCATTTCTCAGGTACACTTCATTTTGAGACCAAGAAAAGAAAGACTAATTTTAACACTTTTTAAAAGAGTCTAAAGTTATTTTCCAAATCAGTTACTAACAGATAATAACATAAATACCAGACATGTATATCCTTTCTCTCCACTTTAGTGAAAAACATGGTGACACTGGGCAAAGAAATATGTTTTCAAACATATAAGGTTATTTTTTGTAGTGCTAGGGACGGACCCCAGGTCCTCACTTATGTCAATTAAGCATTCTACCACTGAACCACACTCCATCCCTTTGATTTTCTTTTTAATTTTGAGACAGGGTCTAGCTAAGTTGCCCAGGCTGCCCTTGAACTTGTGATCCTCCTGCCTAAGCTTTCTGAGTAACTAGGATTGCAGGTATGAATCACAAGGACTGGCACAAGTATATATTGCCATTATTTTTTATGAAGCAGTCATGATAAAAAAAAATAATGACTTTTTCCAACTTATAAGTTTAAAGTTAATAACTTGGCCTCTGAGGTATGTAATAGAACCTCAAAGGTATACTTTAAACTTTTTTTTGGCAGTACTGGGGAGTTGAACTCAGTACTTGCTAGCCAAATGCTCTACCACTTGAGTCATGCCCACAACCCAAAGGTATACTTTAGAGTAAGCCAATGTTTTGGGATTTAGGAAACAGAAACAACCAAACACCAAATCTCAGTCAGATAGATAATGATCCCTAGGCCACAAAAATTATCTAGAAATAAAGCAGACTTGTTTAGTGTGAGTAATAAATATTTATCATTATATTAACTTGTCAGATGCTGTATTTCAGAGAACATTTGTTTGTAGATATCATATTAAGTTTAGAATAATCTGGACAGAAAAAAAATCTAATTTATATATAACTTATGAGGCCTGACATAAATGTCAACTATAGACCTGAGAGGGAAAATACTTAGTAAAACATTCAATTATAACCTTTCTTTGTTTACAGAACATATTAAATCTAGAAAAAAAATGAAGGTCAATCTCTATAAACTGCATCTTTTATACTCCATGACCACTAATAGAAGTGAAGATACATTCTTTTTTTTTTTTTAAGGTGGTACTGGGGTTTGAATTCAGGGCCTCACACTTGCTAGGCAGTGTGCTCTTACTGCTTGAGCCACTCCACCAGCTAAAGATACATTCTTATATAAGAAATTCCTCCCCAAAAGAAATTATGTGCCAGATATGATATTCACTCTAGCAGCAAACATTTTGTTCACAGTGACCTTACATATCAGTGACAGGAACACATCAAATATTTCAGGTGGTAATAAATATACAAAGAAAGAGCAGGGGCCGAGTGCCATTGGCTAACACCTGAATCCCAGTTACTTGGGAGGCTAAGATTAGGACGATAGTGTTTCAAGGTCAGTCCTAGCAAACAGTTTGCCAGAACCTATCTCAATCAATAGTTGGGTACAGTGGTGCATGCCAGCTATGCAGGAGATTGAGATCGGAAGGATCAAGGTTCCAGGCCAGCTCAGGCAAAAAAGTTCACAAAGCACCATCTCAACAGAAAAAAGTTGGTTGGTGGTATGTGCCTGTCATCCAGCTATGGTGAGAAGCATAAAATCAGAAGATCATGGTTCAGGTCAGTCTGGGCAAAAAGACCCTATCTCTAAAGTAACTACAGCAAAAAGGGCTGGAGACGTGGAACAAGCAATATAGTGCCTGCCGAGCAATCACGAAGCAGTGAATTCAAAACCAGTATTGCCAGAAAGAGAGTGAGAGAAAGAAAGAGAGAGAGAGAGAGGAGAGAGAGAGGAGAGAGAGAAAGAGAGAGAGGCAAGAAAAATGGGATGAAGATGAAATACTGGGAGACAACAATATCTCTATAAGTCTTACCACATACAGTAAAAATACCTATTTTTATTTATTATTAATACTCCTTGTAGAAGAAAAAAGTCAAGAAAATTAATAAAGTATGTTTTGTTTGGAGTTTGGATAATATGATAAAAAGTGAATAATGGTGAAGTGGATGAAATCCTAAATTATTTAAGACAATGATTGTAAGAATGACCCATGAAATTAAAAAAACCCCACATGAATGAATTCTAAGAGAATATAAATAAGAAGTTGAATGGCTCTGGAGGAGTGGCTCAAGCAGTAGAGCATCTGCTTTGCTAGCATGAATCCCTGAGTTCAACCTCAGCCACCTCCCCCCCCAACAAAAAGCAGCTGAATGAAATGAGGAAGACAATGCAGGATATGCAAGAGGAATTCAATGAAGGTATAGAAATCCTAAAATAACAATAACCAAAAAAAGCACAAGGCACTAAGTTCAAACCCCAGTACTGCAAGGAAAACAGACAAACAGAAATCCTGAATTAGAATGTTCAGACAATAAAGAAAAAAATTTAAAAAGTAGAAACCGAACATACAAAACCTCTGGGACACCATTAAAATACCAAAAACCCATGATCATCAGCACAGAAGAAGAAGAAGTGAAAGCTAAAGGCAGAGAAAACATTTAATAAAGTAGAAGAAAATTTCCAAAGTCTTGAGAAAGAGAAGGTCATCCAGGTATAGGATGACCAAATAGAACATCAAATAGACAAGATGAGCACAGAACTACTTCATGTCATATGACAGTTAAAACACTGAGTATAAAGATTATTGAAAACTGCAAGAGAGAAGCACCAAGCTACATATAAAGACAAACTCAACAGAGTAGCAGATTTCTTCCTAGGCACAGTGGTTCATGCCTGTAATCCCAGATACATGGAGGCAGAGATTGGGAGGATCATGGCTCAAGAGCAGCCTAGGCAAAAATTTAGTGAAACCCTATCTCAACAAATGAGCTAGGCCTGGTGGTACATACTTGTAATCCCAGCTACATGGGAGGCCATAGGTAGGAAGATCATGGTCTGAGGCTAGCCCTGGAAAGGGGTGGGAGGAATGCAAGATATGCAGGATCCTACTCCAAAAATAATTTTATAAAGCAAAACAACAACTGAGGCCAATAGGAGAAGGGGACCAGGAACTAGAGAAAAGATCAGATCAAGAAGAATTAACCTAGAAGGTAATACACATGTACAGGAAATCAATGTGAATCAACTCCCTGTATAGCTATCCTTATCTCAACTAGCAAAAACCCTTGGTCCTTCCTATCATTGCTTATATTCTCTCTACAACAAAATTAGAGATAAGGGCAAAATAGTTTCTGCTGGGTATTGAGGGGGTGGGGGGGAGAGGGAGGGGGCAGGAGTGGGGGAGGGGGAAGAAATGATCCAAACATTGTATGCACATATGAATAAAAAAAAAAAGCAAAACAACAACAACGAAACTGCTGGGGGTGTGGCTCAAGTGGTGGAGTACAAATGCAAGGCCCTGAGTTCAAACCCCAGTACTGCCAAAAACAAACAAACCCCAGATTTCTCAACAGAAACTCTAAAAGCAAAGAAGGCATGGAATGATGTATTTCAAGTACTGAAACAAAATTAACTGATAACCCAGATTATTGTACCCAGCAATGGTATCCTTCATAACTGAAGTTAAAATAAAAAACCAAAGGAATTCATGACTACTAAACCAGAACTGCAGAATAAACTTAAGAAGAAGGTAAGCAATGAAATTTTGGGAAAGAATGAATCTCACTAGATGAATAAATAAGCAAATGAGGATTAGAAAAGAATCAAACATTGCAAAAAAATTACTACATACCTTTCCACAATAACTCTGAATGTTAATGGTCTCAAATCTCCAATCAAAAGACAAAATAAGACTAGATTAAAAAATAATACCCAAGCATTTGTTGCCTACAAGAAACGCACCTCACTGGCAAAGACAAAGTGGAAGATATTCGAAGCAAATGAGCTCTAAAGCAAGCAGGCATAGCTATACTCATATTTGATAAAACAAACTTCACATCAATATTATAAGAGACAAAGTCACTTCACAGTGATAAAGGGAACGATCCATCAAGAAGATATAACAACTGTAAACAAATATACACCAAATGTTGGTATATTCAATTTCATGAAAAAACACTACTGGATATTAAAGCAGATAGACCCCCTCTCAACACAATAACAATGGTTGACTTCAATATCCTACTTCCACCATAGATAGGTCACTCAGTTTAAAAAAAAAAAAAACTTCAGAATTAAATGACATTATAGATAGTCTATAGACTATTCCACTCAACAGTCAAAGAATATAGTTTCTTCTCAGCAGCCCATGGAACTTCCTCCTTTTAGGCCATAAGATCTAACTCAAACTCTTAGAAAAAGAACAAGCCAAAACCAAAATCAGATGAAAAGAAGCAAAAATCAGGGCAGAAATAAATAAAATAATGATACAAAGAATCAATCAAAAGAATTGGTTCTTTGAAAAGGTAAATAAGATACAGCTAAAATTAGAGGACCATTAGGGAGTACTTTGAAAACTTATATTCTAATAAACTGGAAACTCTAGAAGAAATGGATGAATTTCTAGATGCATATGACCTATCAAAATTGAACAAATAGGATATAAACCACTTAAATACATCTATAATGAGCAATGAGATTGAAGAAGTAACAGTTTCCCAACAAAGAAAAGACAAAGATCAGATGGATTCACGGCTGAATTCTACCAGACTGTTTACTAAGTCCAATGCTCCTCAAACTATTCCATAAAATAGAAAAAGCAGAAATATTACCAAACTCATTCTATGAAGCTAGTATTACCCCAATACCCAACCACATAAGGATACAACAAATAAAGAAAATTCCTGACTAATTTCCTTGATGATCACAGATGCAAAAATTCTCAATAAAACTGATTTCAACAATATTAAAAAGATCATACACCATGATCAAATTGATTGCCCTTCAGGAATGCAAGGATGGTTCCATATAGTAGATCAATTAATGTAGCAGAGAAATAGAATCAGGACAAAAAAATCATGTGATCATCTCAAAAGATACAGAAAAGGCCTTTGACAAAATTAAACATTTTCTTTATGTTACAAGCCATGAAGAAAATTAAGAATAGAGGACTGGAGGAGTGGCTCAAGTGACAGAGCACCTGCCTAGCAAGCGTGAGGCCCCGATTCAAGCCCCAGTACTGCCAAAAAAAATTAAGAATAGAAAGCAGACACCTCAACATAAAAGGCTGTATATACAAACCTATATCCAACATTCCCCACTGTAAATGGGGAAAAATTGAAAGCAATTCCTCTAAACTCAGGACTGAGACAAGGGTGTCCACTCTCACCACCCTTATCAATATAGTACTTATGTTCTTAGCCATAGCAATAAGGCAAGAGAAAGAAATAAAAATAGGAAAGGCAAAGTCAAATTAACCCTATTTAGAAATGATATAATCCAGAATCAGGAATGCAAAAGGGGAGATAACAACAAA